GAATCATAAACAATAATTGAAATACTGTACTTCCTTATAATTGGAACTTTTGCATTGATGGCATTGTAAAAAAGAAAGGACAATCCGTAAATATTTATAATCTAAAGCTCATAAAATTGACAACACCTATAAAACAATTATTCCAACAATTTGCTGTTAGGTATTACTCAATCCAGTAGATACAGTGAGTTCTTACTATTCTGAGCATCATTTTATATTCTGGGAATACAAAGGATATAATAAAAGAGAGAGAAGTCAAATGTGTATGTAATAATGAGACAGATGCCAAGTAATAACTGATCCATATAAAATCACGTAGTAGCTGAGAGATGAGGGCTATTCATCCTTTTAAACCAGGAGGTTCAAGAAAAGAGGACATTAGTAATGTTAGGGAAGGCTGTATTTAGAAGTAATAGTTGAGCTGGATCCTGAATGATAAATATTCCATAGGCAAAATATAGGAAGAAGATAATTAAACAGAGAGTTTTACCAAACATCAAATGAAGTAGGGAAAACCTGGGGCAAAGACCCAAGAAAGCTCACAGCAGGTTGAAGGATGGCAGGTGGCTTGCTGCAGCTATTATGCATGGAGTCTCGCCTGAGGTCGCTGCAATTCATTCTCCAGATCTCTGCTTTAGTAACATAAACTCCGGAAACTTTCTGAGCCTCAAGACTAGGTCAGGTCCCTCAGGTATATCCTCTCCTACCCCTGAGCTTCTTCCTCTCATAGTACTGCTCTCTCTTTGGGAATGATCATTTGCATTTATTGGATTATCTGCCCCCCTCCCTAATGATAAGAAAACATGAGAAGGGGGAGTCTGTCTGATTTTGTTCTTTGTTATATCCTCAGCACCTAGCACAGTATCTGACACATTAGCAGGCACTATAAAATAAAAATTTAAAAATCAAACAAAGAAATGCTGAAAGAAATTCCAAACTTGAGAATAGTAGGTTAGATCCCAGAATGCCAAGAGATTAATGGACATTGTCCTGTGGACGGTGGGAACTGATGCATTTTCTTTCTCGTCAGCAGGAGGAGAACATGATTGGAGCTGTTTTTGAAAGTTAGTTTTAGCTACAAAGTGGAGGGCTGGTTGCTGAGAATTGAGCCTGAATGTGAGAAAAACAGTCAAATTAATGTTTGAGTATTTTCGCTAAGATATAATAAAGTCTCAAACCAGAACCGTGCTAAGAATTGGAGAAAAGGAGGACATGAGTGACATATATTCAAATCCCCAAAATTTGGCAACTGATTTGAAAGTGATAAAGTGAGAAATCAATGATGATTATCATTAGTGTCCTAGGCTATTTCAATGAATACACAACCACTTGAAATTTAAAGAAAGCTACTCTTTTAGTAGGGACATTTTGATGATAAATGTGTGCCTAGATTTGAATGCAGCTTACATAATTGAAATCATCATACATAAAGCATTAAAACAATTCAAAATCAAATCCAAAAATAATTTTCATGAATTGAGTGGGAATATTTCATTTTCAAGTTGTATGAGAATGATTTTTACCAGGTGAAAACAAAAAGAAAAAAACCTGACAGAACAAAGAATATGCAATAAAACATAAAGCTCCTTCCCATCCTGTCTCTTAGCTCCTACATGCTCTACCGAGAAGCAGCCTCTATTATTAGTTTCTGCTAACTCTTGAGTAGAAACAGTGCTAATTATTTAAAAAAAAAAAAAAGAGAGAGAGAGAGAGAGAGAAACCAAAGTAAATTTCTGCCCAAGACAGTAATGTGAAGTAAACTGCTGGAATTGTCAATGAATATATGTACTAGTCAATACATTTAAACTCTATATCATAGATTTCTGCTTTACTTCTCTTCTGAATTAAAAGAAATAAAGAAGAAAGAGAGAAAGAGAGAGAGAGAGAGGGAGAAGAAAGGAGGAGAGGATGGATAGAGAGGAAAGAAGATGACTAGATGACATTTTAAGTCTAAGGTTCACTTTTCAATTTCCCTCAATATCATATTGAATCACATAAAAGGAAGTCACTGGAAGTTAAGGAACACATCTAGACAGGAAAGCCAATGATTAGGATAGAGAGTAGTAGGTACAATGGCAAAGGAAGGCCTGAGGTTCTATGAGAGGACACAGAGAGCTGGCTGTTGCTACATATTTCTGCACATTTTCCAGAAAAGGAGAACTCCATTGCCAACCAACATATCATTTCCTTAATAGCAAAGGGTTCTATGCTGCAAATTCATCATCCTGCTGTTTTGCTGAGATACTTAGATCATTGTATTTGACCATGTTCAACTTTATGTTCCTCATATCCATCTTGGTTGAGTATTCATTTTCCTAGCTAAGAGATTCAGAACCTTAGGACAGCCATTCTCCAGGGTTCAACAATAAAATTTTCATTTACTTTGCTGACCAAGCAATCTGGATCCTAAAATGATGTTATAACTGACATAGTTATACCTACACATTAAAGAATACACTAAAATAGAGTGATGGTTCAAACATTCATAGTTCACCTCTCCAGTACTCATTGTGGCTTTACTTTCATTCACCTCCTTCAGTTTTATTTCACCTTGCAACAAGGTAATGCAGAGAAGCAAATAGCAGAAGAATTCAATAACAAAAACAGACAACTGTAAGTGAGGAAAGCAATGCTTCAAAACACTTTTTTTTTTTCAAACAGTAGTAGAGTAAGGACCTAAAAGAAAAATAAAAATCATCTTCCATATCTAAGCCAGTGCTAAGTAGTAGCTGATAATGGTTCACTTAAAACTAATTAGATACCCACTGATTGTAGACAGAATCCTTTCAGCAAAACTGACATGCAATATAGCTTGATGTTGATCATATTAAATTTGAAAATAGAAAATACTTCAGAAACAGCCAAGTGTGTGAATTAGATCCTCCTCAGTCATAGATGACACTAACTCCACTAGAGTTACTTTATCCTCCTCCACTTTGGAAATAACTAAAATATTTCTTAATGATGTATCATAGGGGTGGAAATTTCTATGTCTTGAGTTGCACATAGAACTTTTAGAGCTGGCAGTTTGGTGAAACTGCCTTTTGTTGTGCAGTTAAGGAAATCACAGTACAGAAAAGATAAAGGATCACCAAGTTAAAAAGTGGCAGAAGCAGAACTCAAATCTAGCACTGCTGCCTGTGGCTCCCCTCCTGCCTCTGTCAAAGTAGACACTAGCAGAAGTGGATGAAACACTCAGAACGGTGACCAAGGACTGATAATAGGTAAATTTACAGACGTGGAGTAGAAGAGAGGAAAGCCAACATAGGAGGTGAGACCACCAAGGCTGTGGAGTAAGTCTGTCTTCTTTCTTTTATAAGTTTATTGATGTATTTGTTTTATCTATGAGAGAGAGAGAGAGAAAGAGAGAGAAAATGTATTTGTTTTATCTATGAGAGAGAGAGAAAAAGAGAGATAAGCACCCCCAGTGGGGTCTTGATGCCACAATCTATGCATGCTTCAGTTAGCCCTGGATCATGATACTGATGAACCAGAAATACTCAAGGAAGTTTCTGGATGTGAACCTGGAAACTTGCTATACAATTCTCACCATATAGTCTCACAGAACATCACATTTTACCAATATAATGCCATCCAGCTGTAGTCTCTGATTCTTATCTCTTCCCTGAAGAAATCAGAAGGGGAAAAGTAAAAAACAAAACAAAACAAAACCCTATAATTATAGCAGAAGACCTGTAAGAACTATGTTCGGGGAAAGGACCAAGGTATTTGATAAACAGTAGTTCTATAGGAAAAAGGCAAGAAAATATCAGAACCCAGACCTCACTTTCCTCCTGCCTTCCAAACTTCTGCTAGTGCCGCCCTTTAGCCTTGCCCAACCAGAAGCTAGAGGAGCCCCCAATGAATCTGTCCTAGAGTCACAGCAGGGGAGAAGGCCATTGTGAAAGGACAAATTGAAAATACCCAACACTGTATGTCTTTGCTGAACCAGCTTTTTGCTTTGCAATTTTGTCTTCATTACCATAGCCTACTTTCTTTCATTGGGACAAAAATCATCAAGGTTAATGAGAGATGATAGCCCATGTAAAAATAGCATTGTTCTTTGATGGACTTTATCTAAACTTTACTCAAATGTAATAGAATTTTGTAGATGAGGCACAATAGGCAACGAATCTACTTTGTAATATTTAAAAATAATTAATCTCAAAAGTAATCATCTCAGTACTATGACTCATTAGCTGGAAGAAAACAGTAATAATATGTTTTGTGCAGAGAACAATTTTAATTAATAACAGGATGCATTTATTCAAAAATTATAATAAGACATCATTATTTTCAGAACATGAACTTTAATGGTAGGTGTTAGCATCTTGGTGAGTTATAGAGAATGAACTTCTGAATACTAAACATGATTGTTTCAAGGCCTCAAATATATCAGCCTTGTGCAGTAAGCTATTATCTACACTGACAATTGTTCATAGCTATAAATCAGGCATGCCTGATGTGATACCCAAAAGTACCTCACATTTCAGATGTGAATGGCATAAAAGACATTTCCATAATAAAACAGAATCCAAAGAGTTGATTCAACACATAGGCATTACTAATAAAATAATATAGGCAAAAATCTCTGAAAAATGTGGGGTTTTTTTATTGGTCTTGAGGCAGTTCTGTGAGGGATGACTGAGGTTAAGGAAGCAGCAGGATCTGAGCCACTCGCTTTCTTTGGTTCAGCACACATCCATGCAGGTTTTAAGAGCGCCTACTCTCGGGAACAGCAGTTGTTGTAATGGCTATGTCACTGGACACCCATATAGTCAACCTAATTCGAGTCCTGGACCCGGGGGCTTAAACTCACGCAGGACGCATGCCCAAGATCTCAAGAAGAGAATGGAGGAGAAGGGATTGTGGCATGTACATCCCCCTGCGGGAGGTGATTTCTCACTTTCTGTCTCTCTGTCTCTCTCTGTCTTTCTGGTGAGTGCACACATCCTATACCAAAACTCTCCCAAAAAAAAAAAAGTGTCCTACTCTCTTACCTGTCCAGAATGGGTACAAGGAAGTCGTTCTGTGGACACAATACAAAAGCAGTTTGACTTGTGATGTATCCTTTTAAGGACAATGATTTAGAATGGTTTGCTCTGTGTAGGTTCAGTGTACCTTCCCATTACCACTGAGACCAAGATATTAGAGAAAAATCTAAAACAAAAGGCAGTAGATGCTATTTTTCTTCTTATTATTATTATGTTCCCTCTCTGTCTTCTGGGTGGTGCCAACCTCCTATACCAAAACTCCCCCAAAAAAAAAAAAAGTGTCTACTCTCTTACCTGTCCAGAATGGGTACAAGGAAGTCGTTCTGTGGACACAATACAAAAGCAGTTTGACTTGTGATGTATCCTTTTAAGGACAATGATTTAGAATGGTTTGCTCTGTGTAGGTTCAGTGTACCTTCCCATTACCACTGAGACCAAGATATTAGAGAAAAATCTAAAACAAAAGGCAGTAGATGCTATTTTTCTTCTTATTATTATTATTTATGTTGATTATATTTTATTTCTTCCATTAAAGAGAGAGACAGAAAGATGGAGGAAGAAAAGACAGGCACTCCCAAACAGGATCTTTATACCATGACCTGCTTTGAGCCTCAGCCAGCCCTGATCATAGACATGCACAGCCAGACTAGCATGCACAGGGAGGCCTTTGGACATGAACCAGGGACCTCTCTATTTGGTCCAGCTCACAGATCATTGTGTTACCATTATATCACTGTTGTAGACCCATATTTATTCTTATAAGTTTAACAAAATTTCTAATGTTCTAAAAGGCCAAACACATCAGAATAGGCTACATAACTTGACTTTTTAAGAGGACTTAGATTATAGGCAAGACTTTGTATTATTTTATGGAAATATTTTCTAAAACACATGAGCTGGTAAGACAGAGCCTTTATCTTACAAAAGAAGAAAGAACCAAATGTTCACTAGTTGAACAAAATGCCTTAAGCAAAGTATCTGTGAGCATACATTTTTAATTTCCTCAGATGAAAACAGTTTTGAGTAAGGGTCTCTCACAAAGTGTCCTGATGTGCTCCTAATAAACCACGAAATAAAATGTTTCCGAATGCTGATATTCCCTCAGCTTATATTCCCCAACTGATCTGGTTCGGCTCTAAATGAAACATATATTTTAAGCAAGATAATAATCAAGGAGACTGAGAATAAAAAATTCAGAGCATATACTAAGACTTGACTACTGTATACTTTTTTAAAAAATTATTTCCAGAGGGGGAAACGTTTTTTTCCAGATTTTAAGTTTTATCAAAGCAATTGCCCTGGTACTTTCTGATGTGCTAGTTTCAATGCAGTTAACATGTGTACAGGAGTCTTACCACACCTGCTAAACCAGAAGTGAACCTGAATCAGTTAACTCATTCCTTTCAGGGATAAAAATAGCACTAAAGCTATCTGTCCTGCATTTCAAACTAAATGCATTATTTCATCTCATAAATCATCTCATTTTGTCTACATAACACCTCTCTGAGGAAAACAAGACAGCAATTATTGCCCCATTTCATGGATGGAAAACAGGATCAGGAGACTTGCACTAGTCACGTGGCTCAAAGTCCCATGGCTGAGCAGTTTCAGATCTGTGACTCTTAATTAGGCCCAGTTTAGGAAAACATATTTATCAAATGCTTTAAAATAACAGTCTTAAATCTTTGGGGTACAAAGTAGTGTACAAATGGTAGACCAAGAGACAAAAAGAAAGCTAACGGTTTCACATTATTCATTATCTAGATGTCCCAATATAATTACTATAGATTTATCTGCTCTAATACCATTAACAACTGTAAGAGATGGTATTAGGTTATGAGATGAGCCCTGATCTATTTTTTTCTGTTTCTCTATGCAAAATGTGTCATGACTTTCCCAACAACCCGAGAGAATATCATTAGCATATTATAAAGAAACTGAGGCACAGAGTAATTGATTCACTTATATGATATCATACAGATAATTCTGATTTTAGAGTCCATGTTCACCACTATCAGCTTATCTTTAAAGATTCCAAATTCATTATACCAGTTTCCAATTATGTGCATACTTTGATTAAAAAGTGGATATGAGTCTAAGCAAACATACATATGAGTGCAAACACACACACAGAGGCATGCACATATGGAAATAAACTATATATGTATATTTATATCAGTCTAAACATACATACATACATACAAATAAAACATACAGATGTTTTATTTATTTATTTATTTTTAGAGAGGTTTTTGTTATAGGGCATGTGTGCTCACCAGACAGACAGAGACAGACAGAGTCAGAAAGCAAGAAATCACCCACCCCACCCCCAGCAGGGATGGCCACTCCACAATCCCTTCTCCTCCATTCTCCTCTAGGGATCTTGGGCACGCACGCACATGCGCCCGGCGGGAGTTTTAAGCCACCGGGTCCAGGACGCGAACTGCTGTAGACTACATGGGAGTCCAGCAACAGAGCCATTACTCTAACTGCTGGTCCCCATACATATGTTTTATGCTAGGGACCTGAGTATAATTGACTGATAGTCTCATTGTGTGTAACTAGAATTCCATTTAGGCCAGGACTCCAAATATCAAACAAAAAATAAAATAAAATAAAACCTAGATGTGTGAGTTCTTCTAAGCCTAAACTTTAACTGGGGAGGTGGAGGGGAGGGGAATTTCCCAAATTAGAGACACATCACTCTACATTTAACTTTAAAACCTTTCTCCAAGTATCTTTCTATTTCAGAGTCCATTAGTCTTTACAAAGAGAAAAGAGAAAACAGACTTGAGGAAGATGTTCCCTTCTGTATGCTGTGTGACTCAGGAGACGTGCTTCTGTGCAATATTTTACCATCATCTGCCAAAGATGTGTGTGCAAATATCAGTCTTGCAAACAGATAATATTTGCACTACATTCGGGCTAACCTACCATCTGGTTATCAGTTGTTTGGAGTCCAAATTTTACAGTTTCCCATGTGCTCCCTCTAATAACAAATGGAATGAGGCTGCTCTGAGAACTATCTGCACACTGGACTAACACTACATCCTTCAGTAAAAGGGAATGGTGTATCTGAAGGAAATGGCTGTTATCCTGCATTGGGCAAAAAAAAAGGGGGAAGTATACTCTCTGGATAAGGTTCACATGATATATAAACCTCTTAGTTCAAAAGATGATGTATTTTTCACAAAATCTGGAGAATCCACTAGTATTCTGGGCAATTGTATTTTAGCATTAGGTCTAATAGAGTCCACCAACTAAAAATGCAATCACAGTAAAAATTCTAATGATATGCATTATTTTTGAGCAAACAAGTGCCAAAAGCACAATCCTAACATAATATGAATGATGTGATTGACTACAAGGGTTGTTCGCAGCCCACAGCTTCAGGTAAAGCATCTGTGTCCTACCATTAATGGGAGAAGAGACATTGCTATTCACACTAATAGCTGTACAACTCCAGGATTATAGGAAAAGTTCTATGGACTCCACACAAAGTCACCGAATTTTACTGAAATGCAAAAGAATCATTATATAACAAATATATGGAAGAAATTCTTCTTCATGGCATAGTTTTTTTAAAAGAATTATTTTATTGAACTTTATTTATTTATTTACTTATTTAAATTTGACGAGAGAGACAGAGGTGGGGTGTGGGGGGAGAAGGGGGAATGAGAAAGCAAGCTGCCAGGTCCGGGAGTTTAACTGTGGTCAGACATATGGGAGTCCAGTGCCTTTAACCACCAGGCCACCTGCTGGCCCCACAATCCAACAATGATTAACTTAGCTCCTCATAAAGCAAATAATGACCATGCATAATAATAAAGGACAAACACAAACCCTAATACTAACTTCATTAATTTTATTTATTGGCTCTACTAACTTACTAGGATTACTACCACACTCATTTACACCTACTACCCAACTATCAATAAACCTAGGTATAGCAGTTCCACTATGAGCAGGAGCTGTAATTACAGGATTCCACCAAAAAAAACAAAGCATCCCTAGCCCATTTCTTACCACAGGGAACACCAATTCCCCTAATTCCTGTACTAATTATTATCTAAACCATCAGCTTATTTATTCAACCCATAGCCGCCATTCGACTAACAGCACACATCAAAACAGGCCACCTATTAATACACCTCATTAGAGGCACTACTCTTGTATTTTCTTCTATTAGCATCCCAACAACTATAATTACATTCATTATTTTAGTCCTACTAACAATTCTGGAATTCACTGTTGCCCTCATCCAAACCTATGTATTCAGTCTCCTAGTCAGCCTTTACCTACATGGCAACACCTAATGACCCACCAAGCACATGATTATCACATAGTTAATCTGAGCCCATGACCACCAACCAGTGTACTATCAGCCCTGTTAATAACATTGGGCCTAGTCATGTGATTCCACTTTAACTCTAACATTCTACTCATTCTAGGACTAATCACCAACCTTACCATATATCAATGATGATGAGACATTGTATGTGAAGGTACATTCCAAGGTCATCATACCTCAATTGTACAAAAAGGCATAGTTTACAGAATTGTCTATTCATTTTGACCTGCCTAGGATCCACAATCTTTAGCAAGATGAATAGTAAGATAAATTAAAAACACTCTTTATATTTTACTATCCCATGCTCTCAATTTTTTAAAAAAGGAAAACAGTCATTTAGCATTTATAAATATCACATGAGTATAATGGATTGGGCATTAATTATTGTATATAACCAAAATAGTGGCTTAGCAATGGACAGCATCATGAATTTCTAATTCAGGTTACACTGTTTTAAAATGGGTGCTGAATCACCACCAGCAATATTTTTAGGATAACATATAGTGACATATAGTTATCTTTATCCTTTGAAGAACTATAATAACAATATACTTAATATTGATAGTAGAAATATTTAACCTATTAAAACATAAAATAAGTGTATGATGTTCCAGGAATTTTTAAGTTTGATATTACAAAGACCATCTAACATTCCTTTCAAATATCAACAGTTCCCCTAAAAAGCTATCGTTATCTACTTACAAGACTGTGCAAAGGTTGACACAGATGAAACTGTGTCCCTAACATGATGCCCAGTTGTTTCCCCAAAGTGAAAATTATCGTTGCAATTTATTGAGTACTCACTAGGTATCTGGACCATTTCGATTAATCTTGACAATGTTGGTCAAGGGACTACTTTCAGGCCCCTTCTGAAGATCAAGTTTAAGAGGTAACATAGCTTGCCCCACATCCTACCTCTGGTAAGAGGCAGAAGTGATCATTCACACCAGCTCTCTGAATCCTGCGGCACATGCTCTTCCCAGTGACTTCATTCCTCCACCATTTCATGATTTTTTTAAAGACTTTAAAATTATTTTCATTTATTTCTTCCATAAGCAAGAGAGTCAGGCAGAGACTCAGCACCTCTAACACGGTCTTGATGTCATGATCCACCTCCAGCTTCAGCCAGCTCTGGATCATGGGCACATGCATAATTGGAATATCCAGGAAGGTCCCTAAATATTAACCCAGAAGATGTCCATATGGTTCAACCTCACAGACCATTCCATTTTATCACTGTACCACTATCTGGCCCATCCCTGAGTCTTCACAATAACTCTGAGTGCAACAGTTAGGAATTACTTCCGTTTTCAACGAGGAAATAGAGACTACGAGAGAATACTACTTGCTAACGTCATATAACTAGCACATGTCTAGACTCCACTTCCAATGTACTGTGCAGACAAGGACAATGAAAGGAAATGAAAAATAGGTGACTTTCAAATCAATAACTATGCGTCTTAAAACCTGTTCTAATGGCTATACAATCAAATGCCCTGGGACTTTGAACTAGGCTTAATATGTCCTGAAAAATATCATTGGGAAAGTGATTATGTGTATCTGGTGGCTGAGTAAAGTTCAGCTGGCCATTTCACCCATTAAAAGGTGTGAGGTTGCAGTAGACAAGCTAGCAAAGGAGTTCTCTTAGGAAAAGTATGCAGGTCCAAGGGGAAACCCAGCACAAAGCAGTATGTGTGTTGACAAGAGAAATCACTTCCACTTTACTTACAAATGGCAGCATCAATAAAAGTCCCTTGTATACAATCCAGTGTGACAGTTCTCAACCTCTAGTGTTGATAACTCACTGGGGAGCTTGTTAATACTATAAGGTGGTCTTCAGAAAGTTCATGGAAAATATTTAGTCAAAAAAAAATGCATGGATTTCAATTAATTTTTGCACTAAAACAAAATCACACTTTAATTCCATTTGTTATGAATTTGTTGAAATCTTCTACAGTTTTAGTGCCACTCCACCTTGTAGTGTCTAAAAGTCTGAATTTTACAAGTGTTCCAGCTGATTTTGATGTAAATAGGCTGTGGGCTTCATTTTGAGGACCCTGATGTAGTGGAGAAGGGAGTCATCTCGTTGGGGCAACTATTAACATCAAGCTTAAGCCTGGTCAGAAGAATCCAAGATAAAAGCAAAGGTCTCAGAAGTTAGGAAACTGGATCTCTCAGTATTCCCAGTTATACTACGTACATATACTTCATAGTATGTTAGGTACTAGAGTCTAAAAGAAACAAAAAATGAGACAGAAAGAAGAAGGAAAAAATGTAAGAATAAAACAAACTTTGCAAAGAAGTATTTCACTGTCTTCACTTAAAAGCATGTATTTTCTCTCTATCATCAGATACCTAATATAATGAGTTCTTATTTAAGATCCAAAATAAGTTTTCCCATAAAGCATTATGGAAAGTTCAGTGGTATCATATTAAGAATATATTCCATAAGAGTATGCATGGATTACAAATGCAAACATGCATGTGAATTTTAATATTATAATCTTAAGTTTCTGGAAAACAGTAAAAAATTCAACACTATCATAATTCTAAAGAATGATCTTTAGTTCTGTATAGCATTTTGCATGGGAGCGACTGTTTTATCATTGTTATAGTTTGTTTTATTTTTATCCATAACAGGGTTTTCTATCATCTTTCAAGTCAGAAAGTAAATATTACAAGTTTCTGCATGGTTTCTACTTCAACCAAGACAGTCATTCTTTTACTGTAGGTCTGCTGGTGACAAATTGTCTAGCTGTACCTCATCTGAGTGTGTCTTGATTTCCCCTTTATTTCTGAAGGACATTTTCAGGAGATACAGGATTCTGAAATGACAATCTTTACTTTTAGCACTTGAAAAAATATTGTCACGTTTTGGTTGCTTCTGTGTTTTTTCATGAGAGATCCAGGGTCATTTGCTTTTCCTCTATAGGTAATATGATAGTCCTCTGTGCCTGCTTTTAATTTTTTTTCCTCTTATTTTTTCAGGAGTTTGTCTATGTGTCTTGGTATGGATTTCTTTGAGCTTATCATGTTTTAGGTTTGCTTAGTTTCTGTAGCTGTAGATTTGTGGATCTGACAAAATTCAGGAAGTTTTCAGCTAGTACAAGGTGTCTTCAGAAAGTTCATGGAAAATGCATATTATGAAAAAATTCAAAAATTTTGTGTATTGTTTGTATTTCACCACAAATATTTTGGGGATCTTTCATAATGGTTCCACATATTCCTGAGGCTGTGTTTTATTTTGTTTTGGTGTCTTATCTCCCTGTTGTTTATGCTATGCAATTTCAATTTATCTTTCAGTCGCCGGTTTCCTTCCTCTGTCTACTCCAGTCAGGGGTTGAGCCCATCCATGTATGAAGTTTATCTTTAGTCATTGTACTGTTTTTCATTTCTAATATTGCTATTTGGTTCTTCTTTGTATCTTCAATTTCTTACAGACACATTCTGTCCATTTCATTTGTTTATGGATGTTAATGATTATTCATTCATTTTTATAATAGCTAGTTTGACGTCTTTGTTAGATAATTCTAATATCTCTGTCATCTGTGTCATTTTTCATTCTGTTTGGGATATTCCTGGTTCTTGATATGACAAGTAGTTTTTAAATAAACCTTAGGCATTACAATTATTACATTTAAAGCCTTTGGATCATATTTAAAATGTCTACTTTAGCTGGCTTCCTGTGACACCTCTCAGGCAAGGAAGAAGACATTTGCCTCTTTACTGCCAGGTTTGAGTATAGTTTTCCCCCTCAGCCTCTGCTGATGTTCAAGGAGCCTCTTTGTCACCACTGAATGTGAGTGGGAATTCTCCAGCACGTGTGCACTGATACCTTCATTGCTGGGAGTACCAACAGTGTGTCTTACTGTTTGGGTTCCACTGATACTGGGTAGGAGTGGGGTGGGAGTTGCCTCATTAAAATCAGATGAGTGGTAATTAAAGTTCTGATTTTCTACTATTGATACTTCTCTGAGTGTAATGAGAAAGAGTAGGGTTATATCAATACAAGTGGGTAGAATGGAATGATGGTTTTCCACATGGACTCCACAGACATGGCAGTGAGAGAAGCGGAGATCAAACTCTATCTTTTCTGATACAATCTGGCATGGGTGTTAAGATGCCTTGTTACAGCCTAGTACTGGTGAAAGTCTAGACTCCCAATATGGCCTTTGCTGGCATGGATGAGGTAGAGCCACAATAGGTCCTTCTTTTTTTTCTTCCTTTTTTAAACTAAAGAAGAGTGACTATTATCTAAAAGTTTTCTACCTGGCCAGACTATCCCATTTCTGGCCCAGGGTTTTTTTTTTTTTTTTTTTTTTCATTTTAATTCTGTGATCATTGGTGTTTCTGGAATGCTGACTTCATCAGTTCCAAGTTTGGGATGTGTATGGTAAAAGGAAAACCCAGAGATCTTACCACCATATCATTCCTTGGGACTCAAGGTCCATACCCAATCTGACTCCTTCTCTCCACCTTTCAGAGTTTTCTTAGGTTGGTTTTATACACAATATACAAATCGCTATTTCAGTTTTCATTCATTTATTCAAATATATTTGTTAAGAGTCATGTGAAGAATCCTAATTAAATAAAAGGGACAGAAATTGAATAAAATGTGTTTTCTTGATGAATAAAATAAATAATCTAATAAACTCTTCCAATAAACCTTTTCTATTCCCTTATCTTGGACAGTCTTTGCCTCTGCTCTTCTACCCATGGATGCTATACTACTACATTTTTTATCAGTTTATTGTCAACCTTCTCTAATAAACTATGGACTTCTTAAAGTCAGTGATTTTGACTTCTGGTATCATTCTCATTCCTTACACAGGATGGTTTGCTTGAGTGGAAAAAAATAAACATGCTCTTCTTTAAGCTAAATCTATAGGTCAGATTATTCCTGTCAATACAATTTTTTTTTTTTGAGAGGTTTTTGCTATAGGGCATGTGCGCTTGCAAGAAAGACTGAGAGAAACAGAGAGACAGAAAGTGAGAAATCACCCCCCAGGGGGGATGACCATGCCACAATCCCTTCTCCTCCAGTCTCCTCTTGGGATCTTGAGCACACACGCACATGCTCCCAGCATGAGTTTAAGCCACCAGGTCAG